GGGCGAGTGAGTGAGTGAGTGAGTGAGCGGGTGAGCGAGTGAGTGAGTGGGTGAGCGAGTGGGCGAGTGAGTGAGTGAGTGAGCGGGTGAGCGAGTGAGTGAGCGAGTGAGTGAGTGAGTGGGTGAGCGAGTGAGCGGGTGAGTGGGTGAGTGAGTGGGTGAGTGAGTGAGTGGGTGAGTGAGTGAGTGAGTGGGCAAGTGGGTGAGTGAGTGAGTGGGTGAGTGAGTGAGTGAGTGGGTGAGTGTGTGAGTGAGTGAGTGAGTGTGTGGGTGAGTGGGCGAGTGGGTGAGTGAGTGGGTGGGTGGGTGAGTGGGCGAGTGAGTGGGTGAGTGGGCGAGTGAGTGAGTGAGTGGGTGAGCGAGTAAGTGTGTGAGTGAGTGGGTGAGTGAGTGAGTGAGTGGGTGAGCGAGTGAGCGAGTGGGTGGGTGAGTGAGTGAGAGTGGGTGAGTGGGTGAGCGAGTGAGAGCAAGTGGGTGGGTGAGTGAGCGAGTGGGTGAGTGAGAGAGAGTGGGTGAGTGGGTGAGTGAGCGAGTGAGAGAGGGTGGGTGGGTGAGCGAGTGGGTGAGTGAGCGGGTGGTTGAGCGAGTGGATGAGTGGGTACCGGTCGTAGACCCGGAGTTCATGGCGGAAGGTCCGTTAGAAAACCCCGCAGAGTGTAGCTCCTCTGATCCTCTCTGGGGGTAGAGAGACAGGGAGACACGTGGGGTGGGTGGGGGTAGAGACACGTGGGGTAGAGACACGTGGGGTGGGTGGGTGGGGATAGAGACACGTGGGATAGAGACACGTGGGATAGAGACACGGGGGATAGAGACACGTGGGATAGAGACACGTGGGATAGAGACACGTGGGATAGAGACACGTGGGATAGAGACACGTGGGGATAGAGACACGTGGGATAGAGACACGTGGGGTAGAGACACGGGGTGGGTGGGGGTAGAGACACGTGGTGTGGGTGGGGGTAGAGACACGTGGGGGTAGAGACACGTGGGGGTGGGTGGGGGTAGAGACACGTGGGGTAGAGACACGTGGGGTAGAGACACGTGGGGGGTAGAGACACGTGGGGTGGGTGGGGGTAGAGACACGTGGGGTAGAGACACGTGGGGTAGAGACACGTGGGGTAGAGACACGTGGGGTGGGTGGGGGTAGAGACACGTGGGGGTAGAGACACGTGGGGGTGGGTGGGGGTAGAGACACGTGGGGTAGAGACACGTGGGGGTGGGTGGGGGTAGAGACACGTGGGGTAGAGACACGTGGTGTGGGTGGGGGTAGAGACACGTGGGGTAGAGACACGTGGGGTAGAGACACGTGGGGTAGAGACACGTGGGGTGGGTGGGGTAGAGACACGTGGGGGTGGGTGGGGGTAGAGACACGTGGGGTAGAGACGCGTGGGGTAGAGACACGTGGGGTAGAGACACGTGGGGTAGAGACACGTGGGGGTAGAGACACGTGGGGGTAGAGACACGTGGGGTAGAGACACGTGGGGGTAGAGACACGTGGGGTAGAGACACGTGGGGTGGGTGGGGGTAGAGACACGTGGTGTGGGTGGGGGTAGAGACACGTGGGGTAGAGACACGTGGGGGTGGGTGGGGGTAGAGACACGTGGGGTAGAGACACGTGGGGTAGAGACACGTGGGGTAGAGACACGTGGGGGTAGGTGGGGGTAGAGACACGTGGTGTGGGTGGGTGTAGAGACACGTGGGGGTAGAGACACGTGGGGGTGGGTGGGGGGTAGAGACACGTGGGGTAGAGACACGTGGGGGTGGGTGGGGGTAGAGACACGTGGGGTAGAGACACGTGGGGTAGAGACACGTGGGGGTAGGTGGGGGTAGAGACACGTGGTGTGGGTGGGGGTAGAGACACGTGGGGGTAGAGACACGTGGGGGTGGGTGGGGGTAGAGACACGTGGGGTAGAGACACGTGGGGTGGGTGGGGTAGAGACACGTGGGGTAGAGACACGTGGGGGTGGGTGGGGGTAGAGACACGTGGGCTAGAGACACGTGGGGTAGAGACACGTGGGGTAGAGACACGTGGGGTAGAGACACGTGGGGTAGAGACACGTGGGGTAGAGACACGTGGGGGTGGGTGGGGGTAGAGACACGTGGGGTAGAGACACGTGGGGTGGGTGGGGTAGAGACACGTGGGGTAGAGACACGTGGGGGTGGGTGGGGGTAGAGACACGTGGGCTAGAGACACGTGGGGTAGAGACACGTGGGGTAGAGACACGTGGGGTAGAGACACGTGGGGTAGAGACACGTGGGGTAGAGACACGTGGGGGTAGGTGGGGGTAGAGACACGTGGTGTGGGTGGGGGTAGAGACACGTGGGGGTAGAGACACGTGGGGGTGGGTGGGGGTAGAGACACGTGGGGTAGAGACACGTGGGGTGGGTGGGGTAGAGACACGTGGGGTAGAGACACGTGGGGGTGGGTGGGGGTAGAGACACGTGGGGTAGAGACACGTGGGGTAGAGACGCGTGGGGTAGAGACGCGTGGGGTAGAGACGCGTGGGGTAGAGACACGTGGGGTAGAGACACGTGGGGGTAGGTGGGGGTAGAGACACGTGGTGTGGGTGGGGGTAGAGACACGTGGGGGTAGAGACACGTGGGGGTGGGTGGGGGTAGAGACACGTGGGGTAGAGACACGTGGGGTGGGTGGGGTAGAGACACGTGGGGTAGAGACACGTGGGGGTGGGTGGGGGTAGAGACACGTGGGGTAGAGACACGTGGGGGTGGGTGGGGGTAGAGACACGTGGGGTAGAGACACGTGGGGGTGGGTGGGGGTAGAGACGCGTGGGGTAGAGACACGTGGGGGTGGGTGGGGGTAGAGACACGTGGGGTAGAGACACGTGGGGTAGAGACACGTGGGGGTAGAGACACGTGGGGTAGAGACACGTGGGGTAGAGACACGTGGGGTAGAGACACGTGGGGTAGAGACACGTGGGGTAGAGACACGTGGTGTGGGTGGGTGGGGGTAGAGACACGTGGGGTAGAGACACGTGGGGTAGAGACACGTGGGGTAGAGACACGTGGTGTGGGTGGGGGTAGAGACACGTGGGGTAGAGACACGTGGGGTAGAGACACGTGGGGTAGAGACACGTGGGGTAGAGACACGTGGGGTAGAGACACGTGGGGTAGAGACACGTGGGGTAGAGACACGTGGGGTAGAGACACGTGGGGTAGAGACACGTGGGGTAGAGACACGTGGGGTAGAGACACGTGGGGTAGAGACACGTGGTGTGGGTGGGTGGGGGTAGAGACACGTGGGGTAGAGACACGTGGTGTGGGTGGGGGTAGAGACACGTGGGGTAGAGACACGTGGGGTAGAGACACGTGGGGGTAGGGACACGTGGGGGTGGGTGGGTGGGGGTAGGGACACGTGGGGGTGGGTGGGTGGGGGTAGAGACACGTGGGGGTGGGTGGGGGTAGAGACACGTGGTGTGGGTGGGGGTAGAGACACGTGGTGTGGGTGGGTGGGGGTAGAGACGCGTGGGTGTGCGGTGTTGGCCACCCACCCCCTCGTGTGCTGTGGCGGCCTTCATTGGTGCCACTCTATAACAGAACTTGCCCCTACGATCTGTTAAGGCTATATGGGGGACCTTTGTCTGTGTGCGTGTGTTTACAGCGCTTGTGTGTAGGTGTGTGTGTGTAGGTGTGTGTGTAGGTGTGTGTGTGTAGGTGTGTGTGTGTAGGTGTGTGTGTGTTTACAGCGGTTGTGTGTAGGTGTGTGTGTGTAGGTGTGTGTGTAGGTGTGTGTGTGTAGGTGTGTGTGTGGAGGTGTGTGTGTGTGTAGGTGTGTAGGTGTGTAGGTGTGTGTGTGTAGGTGTGTGTGTGTAGGTGTGTGTGTGTGTAGGTGTGTTTTACAGCACGTGTGTAGGTGTGTGTGTGTGTTTTACAGCGCGTGTGTAGGTGTGTGTGTGTAGGTGTGTGTGTTTTACAGTGTGTGTGTGTAGGTGTGTGTGTAGGTGTGTGTGTAGGTGTGTGTGTAGGTGTGTGTGTAGGTGTGTGTATGTAGGTGTGTGTATGTAGGTGTGTGTGTTTTACAGCGCGTGTGTGTAGGTGTGTGTGTGTTTTACAGTGTGTGTGTGTAGGTGTGTGTGTGTAGGTGTGTGTGTAGGTGTGTGTGTAGGTGTGTGTATGTAGGTGTGTGTATGTAGGTGTGTGTGTTTTACAGCGCGTGTGTGTAGGTGTGTGTGTGTGTGTGTGTTTTACAGTGCGTGTGTGTAGGTGTGTGTGTTTTACAGTGCGTGTGTGTAGGTGTGTGTGTGTAGGTGTGTGTGTGTGTTTTACAGCATGTGTGTAGGTGTGTGTGTGTAGGTGTGTGTGTGTTTTACAGTGCGTGTGTGTAGGTGTGTGTTTTTACAGTGCGTGTGTGTAGGTGTGTGTGTGTGTAGGTGTGTTATACAGCGTGTGTGTGTAGGTGTGTGTGTGTGTATTTGCAGTGTGTGAGTGTATGTGTGAGTGTGTATGTTAGTGTGTGTATGTGAATGTGTGTGGATGTGCGTGTGTGTGAGTGTGTGTGAGTGTGCATGTGAGTGGGTGTGCATGTGTGTGTGAGTGTGGATGTGTGTGTGAGTGTGTGTGTGAGTGTGCATGTGTGAGTGTGTATGTTAGTGTGTATGTTAGTGTGTGTATGTGAATGTGTGTGGATGTGCGTGTGTGTGAGTGTGTGTGAGTGTGCATGTGAGTGGGTGTGCATGTGTGTGTGAGTGTGGATGTGTGAGTGTGTGTGTGAGTGTGCATGTGTGAGTGTGTATGTTAGTGTGTATGTTAGTGTGTGTATGTGAATGTGTATGTTATTGTGTATGTGAGTGTGTATGTGAGTGTGTATGTGAGTGTGTATGTGAGTGTGTATGTGAGTGTGTATGTGAGTGTGTATGTGAGTATGTGTGAGTGTGTATGTGAGTGTGTATGTGTGAGTGTGTGTGTGAGTGTGTATGTGAGTGTGTATGTGAGTGTGTATGTGAGTGTGTATGTGAGTGTGTATGTGAGTGTGTATGTGAGTATGTGTGAGTGTGTATGTGAGTGTGTATGTGAGTGTGTATGTGTGAGTGTGTGTGTGAGTGTGCATGTGAGTGGGTGTGCATGTGTGTGTGCCAGACGGGCAACTCTGTCGTGGACAGTGCTGTGGGGGGAGGGCCAATTTCGATTGCCCCGTCCCCTCATGGCGTCTGTGTCCACCACAGGGGCTAAACGGGGGCTCTGGACGGGTGCGAGGGGCTGGTCACCCCTCCACCTTCAAAAATTTACCACGAATTAAAAATGTAATTAATAAGCTTGTGCCGGAGGCCCCGGGGGGACAGGCGTCTATGACGTCTCCTGGCCAAACCCCAATTGGCGGAGCCAGGAGATTGAATCTCTCTACCCTCGGGGCTCCTCCAGAAACAACGAAAAGCCACTTCGTGTGGCCACGTGGAATGTTCGAACGCTCACTGCGGAGGAGAGGCTGCCGCTCCTCTGTCGGGAGCTGGACCGGTACCGCCTGGATCTATGCGGCATTCAGGAGGTCCGGTGGACCGGCTCTGGCTCCTGCCACCATGAGGGGTGGACAGTCCTCTACTCGGGGCAGCAGACTGCCAAACAACAGGGTGTGGCTCTTCTTTTGAACAAAAGAATGAAGGGGGTGTGGGAGCGTGGCGGTGAGGTGTGGGAAGCTGTAAGCCCCAGGCTACTTTGGGCTC